GGCCTGCGCGCCCAGCCGCGTTGCCGGCTCTAACCCCGCGCTGTCGTGTGCCCGCAGATCGCCCCGCCGCCGTCGCTCGCGGAGCCTCTCAAGGAGCTCTTCAAGCAGCAGGAAGCCGTCCGGGGAAAGCTGCGGCTCCAGCACAGCATAGAGCGGGTAAGGGAGCACTCCGGGGAAACTCCTGCTGGGGAAGAGGTCCCGAATTTCCTTTGCTGGGGAAGAGGTCCCGAATTTCCTCTGCTGGGGAAACTGAGGCTGCCGCGCTCACTGCTTCGTTTGCTTTTCCTCAGGAGAAGCTCATCGTCTCCTGCGAGCAGGAGATTTTGAGAGTTCATTGTCGGGCAGCAAGGACTATTGCCAACCAGGCTGTGCCCTTCAGTGCCTGCACCATGCTGCTGGACTCCGAGGTCTATAACATGCCTCTAGAAAATCAGGTCAGTGCCTGTCTTGGTGGTGAAGAAGTGTCTCAGAGGTGCTGTGCAAGACCCCGAGGGAGACGGTGCTTTTCTGGACGGAGGGAGGGATGTGGGCAGGAGTTACTAACGCTCTGTCACCCACCGCGGCACACACATGCAGGACATCCTGCAGGAGCCCTCCCCGGCACGTGCCCGGGTTGCCTGATCTGGCTCAGTTTTGGTGTCGCATGTTCTGGGATATACCCCACGTGCGTGCCAGGGAAGGAAATACATCTGGGAACACGGGGATACAGGGAGCATCGTGTCTCTAGGAGCAGAGATGACTCGCATTTGTCAGTGAGTCTCAGGACCCTCTGCCTTTCTTCTTGATCAGGATCATCTGCACACTTGAAAGGTTTATTTTACTACACTCTGGGTTATCTTTTCCTGTTGAAGGAAGGGGAGGGAGCCGTTAAATTGATTTGTGCCTGAACAGTGACTTTGAAAGAGCCAGACTTTGTCTCACAGCCCACAAAAAGCGGTCATTTCTTTCAATTTCACGTCGTTCTGTGCTGGAGAAAGGGGGAATCGTGTCCGGTTTCCGCAGCC